AGTTATGTATATGGTTTAATCTTACAAATCGAACAATCAATATAGGATTTAAAAAATCCGAATCCTCCAAAATTCTTATGAACCAAATCCTATGAATCACTAAGTATAAATTATTTTTTCCTCCTCCCCAAGAAGCGACTTCCCAGGCGATTAGGGTTTCCCTTCTCCAGTTGGTGCCGTCACCTCCGATGGTCTTTGGCCCGTGGAGGTGCGGAGGACCACGGCCCCTCGCTGGTGGGAGGGACCCCTGCCTGCTTCTTGTTTGGTTTAACGTCTCGGTTGAGGTTGTGTGACGGCGACATCATCCCTAGTAGGAATAGTGTCTTCCACGTCCGATCCCCGCCCCAATGGTGCTCTAGCGTCGTCGGAGGGCATGTGGTGGTGTGCCTCCGTCATCGGTGCTGATCTTTGGTGGATCTTTTTGGATCTAGTCCTCAGTCGTGTGTCTACATGTTTGATCCTTTCGACCTACACTTCTCATCATCGACGACGGTTGCTGTTCTGGTGCGATAATCCTGTGAGGCCTTAGCACAACGACTTCCCGATTGTCTACTACAATAAGGTTTGCGTGGCTCTAGGGATGGAGGGGCGATGACGGTGGCATTCTTTTGACTCGTTGCACAACTTGTAGTCTTCGCTACGTGGTCCATGAACCTGGTTGTAATTATTATTTTTGATGTTCTTTGTAGTTTGTACTACGATGACAGATAACGAATAGATAGAATGTTTTTTTAAAGAAAAAAAAAGCATAAAATGAACAATTCTCCATTATGAGAAGGCGCTCTTCGCTACTGAAAGCGGCTTCTGGATATTTACGCTTCATCGGGATCTCTCCGCACCAAACAAACGCCACCGTCTTCCCCATCTCTCCCGTCCCCGGTCCGGTCCACCAACCGCCTCCAGGCCGCAACCATGCACGGCCGCCGCCATCTGGCGGCCTCCCTGGCGAGAACCCTGTCCCAGGCCCCCTCCCGCTCCATCTCCTCCACCCCGTCCCTCCTCCAAACCCTTGACCCGACCCCGCAGTCCCCTCCCCTCGCCGCGCCCGCGGCGGGGCGGCTCGCGGAGATGCGGAGGCGGCTGCAGGCGGAGACGCCGTCACTGGGGGACTTCGCGTACTCGGTGGAGGTGGGGACGCGGAAGAAGCCGCTGCCCAAGCCCAAGTGGATGAAGGAGACGATCCCCGGCGGGGCCAAGTACGCGGCCATCAAGGCCAAGCTGCGGGAGCTGAAGCTGCACACCGTCTGCGAGGAGGCGCGCTGCCCCAACCTCGGCGAGTGCTGGTCGGGCGGCGAGACCGGCACCGCCACTGCCACCATCATGATCCTCGGTGACACCTGCACGCGCGGATGCAGGTAAAGAGATCAATCCTTTTCGTCTATTGCCTGTATTGGGCACTGCGGACAGCCGCTTAGGTTGTTTAGGCTGTGTACAGGGAAGCCCTAGATAACCTTGTATTTTAGGAGAAGCATAGGCTTTTAGTTTAGATGATCCATATGGTATCATTTCCATGATTTTTGTAGGTGCATAGTTTTGAATGAGCAGCGAGATTGTGAGGGCAAATAGTGTGATTTTGTAGCTTATCGTGTATTTAAGTTATCAGCGCGTATGTCCCGCAAGTAGGCCACAATGAGAACACCAAGAGGGAGTTCTGGGAAGGCCTGGAAGACATGGTTAGGAGTGTACCGATTGGTGAGAAACTCTTCATAGGAGGAGACCTCAATGGCCACGTGGGCAGTGGCGAAGTCAGGATTCGAGTATAGGGGGGACCGAGTACATATATTGATCTAATCT